GTGTCTGCTATTGCTGAGGCTTGAGTAGGTAAAGCGCCCGGGAAGCTTAAACTGGGTGGACCCCACCACAGCTGAGCAAGGCCTAGCCCTCTATAGTCTCAACCTCTGTGGGCAGTGCATAGCTGAACAAAAGGCAGCAGACAACTTCTGCAGACTTAAACATCCCTGTCTGACAGCTCTGAAGAGAGCAGTAGTTCTCCCAGCATGGCGTTTGAGTTCTGCGAATGGACAGACTGCCTCCTCAAGTGGGTCCCTGACCCCAGTGTAGCCTAACTGGGAGACACCTCCCAGAAGGGGCCAACAGACTCCTCATATAGCCTGGTGCCCATCTGGGATGAAGCTTCCAAAGGAAGGATCAGGCAGCAATATTTGCTGTTCTGCAATATTTGCTGTTGTGTAGCCTCCACTGGTGATACCCAAGCAAACAGGGTATGGAATGGACCTCCAGCAAACTCCAACAGACCTGCACCTGAGGGACCCGACTGTTAAAAGGAAAACTAACAAACAGAAAGGATCAACGTCAACAAAAAGGACATCTACACCAAAACCCCATTTGTAGGTCACCAACATCAAAGACCAAAAGTAGATAAAACCACAAAGATGGGGAGAAACCAGAGCAGAAAAGCTGAAAATTCTAAAAACCAGAGCGCCTCTTCTCCTCCAAAGGATTGCAGCTCCCCGCCAGCAACTGAACAAAGCTGGTTGGAGAATGACTTTGACGAGTTGACATAAGTAGGCTTCAGAAGGTCAGTAATAACAAACTTCTCCTAGCTAAAGGAGATGTTTGAACCCATCCAAAGGAAGCTAAAAACCTCGAAAAACAGTTAGACAAATGGCTAACTAGAATAAACAGTGTGAAGAAGACCTTATATGATCTGATGGAGCTGAAAACCATGGCACGAGAACATGGTGACGCATGCACAAGCTTCAATAGCTGATGTGATTGAGTGCAAGAAAGGGTATCAGTGACTGAAGATCAAATTAATAAAATAAAGCGAGAAGAGAAGTTTAGAGAAAAAAAGAGTAAAAAGAAATGAACAAAGCCTTCAAGAAATATGGGACTATGTGAAAAGACCAAATCTACGTTTGATTGTTGTACCTGAAAGGAAAGTGACAGGGAGAATGAAACCAAGTTGGAAAACACTCTTCAGGATATTATCCAGGAAAACTTCCCCAACCTAGCAAGACAGGCCAACATTCAAATTCAGGAAATAGAGAGAACACCACAAAGATACTCCTCAAGAAGAACAACTCCAAAGACGCCTAATTGTCAGATTTACCAGGGTTGAAATGAAGGAAAAAATGTTAAGGGCAGCCAGAGAGAAAGGTCGGGTTACCCACAAAGGGAAGCCCATCAGACTAACAGCGGATCTCTTGACAGAAACACTACAAACCAGAAGAGAGTGGGGACCAGTATTCAACATTCTTAAAGAAAAGAATTTTCAACCCAGAATTTCATATCCAGCCAAACTAAGCTTCATCAGTGAAGGAGAAATAAAATCCTTTACAGACAAGCAAATGCTAAGAGATTTTGTCACCATCAGGCCTGCTATACAAGAGCTCCTGAAGGAAACACTAAACATGGAAAGGAACAACTGGTACCAGCCACTGCAAAAACATGCCAAATTGTAAAGACCATCCATGCTATGAAGAAACTGCATCAATTAATGGGCAAAATAACCAGCTAACATCATAATGACAACATTGAATTCACACATAACAATATTAACTATAAATGTAAATGGGCTAAATGCCCCAATTAAAAGATACAGACTGGCAAATTGGATAGAGTCAAGACTGGGTGTGATTCCATCCTGCACGGCTGTTCTCTGTAGCAGTGTTCGTTTATCTCCGTCCGCCTTCTCTCCCACCTAAGTGCGTGCCGCCACCTGATGGAAGATTCGATGGACATGGACATAAGCCCCATGAGGCCCCAGAACTATCTTTTCAGTTGTGAACTAAAGGCTGACAAAGACGATCACTTTAAGGTGGATAATGATGAAAATGAGCACCAGTTATCTTTAAGAATGGTCAGTTTAGGGGCTGGTGCAAAGGATGAATTGCTCATTGTTGAAGCAGAGGCAATGAATTACGAAGGCAGTCCAATTAAAGTAACACTGGCAACTTTGAAAATGTCTGTACAGCCAATGGTTTCCCTTGGGGGCTTTGAAATAACACCACCAGTGGTCTTAAGGTTGAAGTGTGGTTCGGGGCCAGTGCATATTAGTGGACAGCACTTAGTAGCTGTGGAGGAAGATGCAGAGTCAGAAGATGAAGAGGAGGAGGACGTGAAACTCTTAAGTATATCTGGAAGGCAGTCTGCCCCTGGAGGTGGTAGCAAGATTCCACAGAAAAGAGTAAAACTTGCTGCTGATGAAGATGATGATGATGATGAAGATGACGATGATGATGATTTTGATGATGAGGAAGCTGAAGAAAAAGCCCCAGTGAAGAAATCTATACGAGATACTCCAGCCAAAAATCCACAAAAGTCAAATCAGAATGGAAAAGACTCAAAACCATCATCAACACCAAGATCAAAAGGACAAGAATCCTTCAAAAAACAGGAAAAAACTCCTAAAACACCAAAGGAACCAGTTCCATAGAAGACATTAAAGCAAAAATGCAAGCAAGTATAGAAAAAGTGCATTGAACAGCTCT